AAATCAAGTTATTCACTTCTAACCTTGGGACCCAAAGGCCAGGAAACAGCTACAATTGAGTGCAAAACGTCTGCTCTCGAGAGATGGGATATGAAGATGAGAACATTCAGGTCAGAAAGGCAAATCTTGGTGTTAAAAAGCTGAGGCTTGAGCGTAGGGTTTAAAAACCAGGACACAGAGAGGACCACACTGTCTTGAATACTTGCTCTGAGCAGGCTCACTTTGGTACCATCCTATGTGCAAAGACTTTGGTTCTTTGGTCTGAAATAGAACGGAAAATGGAGGGCTGGGAAGGAAAAACACTGCTGCTCTATTGCGCGGGTCACGTCAGCTGGGGATGCTCTGGACACAGCGTGCTGGGAAGAAGATCTGCAAAGCAGCAGCCAATTGAGGAAACAAATAATATTGACATGCCCTGCCTGTGGTACTGGAAATAAAACCTTCCTGCCAGGAAGAGTCTGAGCCCAACCCTCCCAGCCCCACCTGCTCCAGGGGGAGGGATCGGGCTATAAAAGACTCCGGGCGCTGAACAGAGACTCACAGCGAGTCCGGGCTCTCCTGGGAATTCTCCTGCTCCGGCTGTGACCATGGGAAAGCGAGTGGCCGTGGTGCTGGCTGGCTGCGGGGTGTACGATGGGAGTGAGATCCACGAGTCCTCGGCCGTGCTGGTGCATCTCAGCAGGGAAGGGGCACAGGTAAGAGGCACCCCAGCAGCACCAACCCCATCTCCGGCTCCTTTCGTCCTGCTCTACTTCCCAACCCCTCTCTTTTGCCAAAGCTGCTTATCTCAATGGAGCTTTGCTGGACAAACCCCGAGCTCCCCATTGCTGCCATGGGGTTTGCCAAGTGTAAGTGACTGGAGTCAGAGTGAGCAGCACAGTGAAGGGGATGCTGCAGCCAGCGTGGGGAACTCCCTGGGCTCTGCTCTGCCCTCACAGCTTTGTTATATGAGGGCTTGGAGCTCTGTGTGGAGCGTTTCCAAACCCTGAAACAAACTTTCCTAAGCATGTTCTCAGTTCTTCTTGGCTTGCACTCCCTTTCTCTGCTTCTGCTAAAAGATTACTGCTTGTTTGGGCTGTTTGAAAGTCATCTTTTTGACCCCCTGGAAGATCAGAACTGAAACCAGGCAAGTTCTTGTTAGATTAACTTGAATGGGGTAAAAGAGGCAACCCTCAGGCAGCTGTTCTAATGTGCCGTTTGCGCGAGCCTGGCAGAGGAGGGAGGGAAGCCCTGTGTAACGTCACCCTCAGCTCTTTCCCTGGGAATGGGAATACAACGGCACGGTAGTGATGGACCCGTGCTGCGGAGCCAGAGCACCCAATCCCAAAGCCTTCAAAGCAGGAATTCTCTCTTCGGCTTAAAGCTGAGACTCGTCCAGACCTTTCGTTCACTGCCTGTGTAATTTTGCCTCTTCCCTGCTAGAGCTGCTGCACTCGGTTCCCTCTTGCCGTTCCCTAGGCTGGCAGCTGGGAGCAGAGTCCTGCCTCATCCCTGGATGAGCAGAGGCCTCTAGTGGAGGAAGCTCTGGTGTTAGTTCAATCCCTTGCTTTCATTTTTCGGTCATGCTGGTCTAAGGAAGAAAAGCAAAGGATAGAATAGAATAGAACAGAACAGAACGGAATGGAATGGAATATAATAGAGAATGGAAAATAGATTTCTTTCCTAATGAAGTAACTCAAGCGTTTTCATTCACTACCTGTCATCTTTAACACACTTAGGATACAAGGCTAAAGGATAACAGACTTTTCCCCTCTTTCTCCAGGCAGAGGTTTATGCTCCTGATGTTGACCAGATGCATGTGGTGGACCATGTGAAAGGGCAGCCAACTCAGGAGAAGCGCAATGTGCTGGTTGAAAGTGCCAGGATAGCCCGAGGCAACATCAAGGACCTAGCCAAGCTGGATGTCAAGGGGCTGGATGCCCTCATCATACCAGGTAGGACAGCATCCTGCCATCTACCGAGCTTTGCTTTCACTGGATGCAAACCCACTGTCTCCCCTTCCAACATGCTACCTCCTTATCAGGACCGTGCAGTTCAGTGGGGATTGATTAGGCCTGGAGCAAGGATTAAAGGACAAGGGAAAACTTGTCAGGACTTGATGATCTTAAAGGTCTTTTCCAGCCTAGCTGATTCTGACTCAATGATTCTATGTTCCACCCTAATCCATGGGTGAAAAAAAAAGAATTTATGTGTGAAACACAGCACTCATCAGAGCGTTTATAACTCTCCTTCAGTCCTGGAGGGAAGCAAGGTGCTGTGACGTCTCATCTCCTGGCAGTCAGCTCACAGACGTTCAGCTTGTCTGGTCTTAATTCCTTTATCCCACTGAGCAAATGCTGCCATGCACCCAATCCATTTTAGCATCCTACCAAGTAATACCTGGGAAAATCCTGCCCTGGAGTACTGATCTTCCAGTCTAATCTGTTTCTCTTCTCCCAGGTGGCTTTGGAGTGGCTAAAAACCTGAGTACTTGGGCTACCCAAGGCAAGAACTGCGTCATCTCCAAAGCGGTGGAGGATGTCCTGAAGGCATTCCATGCTGCCAGGAAGCCCATTGGCCTGTGCTGCATTTCCCCAGTGCTGGCAGCCAAGATCTTCCCAGGCTGTGAGCTGACAGTGGGTCATGACACAGAGTGTGAGAAGTGAGTAACATCAGTGTGCCCAGAGGAAATCCCACCAGGAATGTCATGGAATCGGCAATGCCCCCCTGCTGTATAGAGCGCCTTGTCCCACCTGTCGTGTCCTGATAGCGAAAGTCTTGTGATGAGCTGAACTTTATTTCTGAGAATGATCCGTTTCATGCATTAACCTGGCTGATAAACCAAATACTCAGCATTTTTAATGCCCCCCTTTGTAATTTACATGTTCCTCCTGTTAAAGTAGAAATCTGATTTTATTTGGACAGTTTTCTGCAATGGGAGTGTTTTAACATGTGGGGTACAAGACACTGCAAGAATCATACAGGAATAAGAGTTTGAGTAAGGACAATGTTAAGATTCCTGGACAGGAGGAATCTGTCCTCCCCTTTACTAGGAGTAGGGAAGGAGGATGCCAGAGGGATCAGTGAAACAAAGAGAAGTAACAGGAGGGAGCTTGTTTCCCTCCAACACATGGCAAAAGCCACCCTTTGGTTACGCTTTTACTTTGAGACACCACTTCAAAGACAAACTGTGCTATAGCTGCTGCCTTTGGAGTGAAGCATTTAGTAACCAGGGCCCTTGGGGGGACTTAACAGTTAAAAGTTGAAACCTTTCAAGTACCTGGGAGAATTGTTTTACTATGCCACTGTAATGTGGAGGTTTTCCTGGTTCTATAGTCCCAGAGAAACTCCTCTGACAGGAGAACATTTGGATCCTATTGAGCTGGCTTTCTGGAGGGACCATCCATCTCCCTGTAATCCAGACTTTTATTCCTGGCTTCATCAGTCAGTCTGTGCAATGACAACTTCCCACCCAGGGTTCATTCTCTTTTCTTCTTGTAGATGGCCTTACGCCAAGACTGCAGAGACCATGAAGGAACTTGGTTGTAAGCATGTGAACAAACACGTCACCGAAATCCACGTGGATGTGAAGAACAAGCTGGTGACTACCAGTGCCTTCATGTGCAACGCCCCCATCCACGACATCTACGATGGCATTGGAAAGATGGTCAAAGAAGTGGTCAGACTTGCCTGAATGCCACAAAGCCACAGAATCCATCTCTTCTGGAGTGCAGATAACGTTCTTCCCCTCTCACATCCACATCTCAGCAGGCAGACTGCTGCTCAGACGGAGTTCTTCCCCCCCATCGGGCCACTGGTGCTGCTGAGGAGGCAGAACTCCAGAGGAATACAAGTGCTGTCGTGTTCTGCCAAGGACAGAGCCCTTAGTGACAGCAAGCTTGGTAGGAACTGGAGTGTGGGCACGCATGGAGCTGGCATGCAAAACCCAGGTCTCCCCGGGGCTCAAGCACAGCCACTGTCCTTGGTTCAGAGTGGCTGAGGAGTTGCCTAGGTCATGTCAGTGTGACTGGGCTGACCCAACATGAGCATGCCATGTGTCAACAGGAATAGTCTGTGTCTCAGACTCCTCAAACATCCATTTTTGCCAGCACTGCAAGGCTGCCCCACACCTCCACCTCACAGATGGGTTAGTGGCAAAAGGCAGGAACGCAGTTGGGCTACTGAATAAAAACTGACACTTTACATAGGCTGAATTCTGCTTCATTTTTGCCTTTTACTTGGGATTAGGATATGTTCCATGTGCTACTTGTTGGCCAGTGAGTGGGAAAATGATACAGGAAGAAATCCCCAGCAGCAAAACCCACTTGTTTTGCTGGGATTTGTTAGAACCCAGACTTGGGCATGAATGTGACACTGATGAAAGCAGAATCAAACCCATGTTAGCATACAGGTCTAATGGGAAGAGGTTACATTCTTTTTGAAGAAAATCACAGAATCCCAGGTTGAAAGAGACCTCAAGGGTCACCTGGTCCAACCTTTCTAGATTAATGTTATCCTGGTGTGCTCATGAAAATGTGACAAGAGGAAATTCACAGGGTAGGAAAGTGGGTGAGAGTGGTGGGACAACTTCACCTCCTAAAAGCTCACTGTGGCCACAGGTTCTTAATCTTGGCAGGTTTTCTTCTCCAGAACCCACACACATGTAAAGGTAATTAGATCTTAGGCAGAAGCTCTTCCCTGTGAGGGTGCTGAGGCGCTGGCACAGGGTGCCCAGAGAAGCTGTGGCTGCCCCATCCCTGGCACTGTTCAAGGCCAGGTTGGATGGGGCTTGGAGCAAGCTGCTCTAGTGGAAGGTGTCCCTGCCCATGGCAGGGGGTTGGAGCTGGATGAGCTTTAGGGTCCCTCCCAACCCATACCAGTCTGGGATTCTATGAAAGAAGCAATGAAGCTGTGTTGGGTTTCATGAGGGTAAATCAGGGCAAGCAAAGAGTCAGGTGTTTCTCTGGCAGCAGATCAGAGGGCCTGCTGTGCCATTTGTGTGCTTCATTCCACAACTCCGATGGCTTAAAATAAGACACTTTAGTTTAAATACAATCTTATATGTGAAGCCACTGAATATTCCTGCAACTGTCCAGAGTTTGCAGCAGCAGCAGCTCTGGCCACTTTCCTCTCCTGCTGCAAAGAGATTTCTTCGAAGGTGGGTACTGAGAAGCAGTACCATAAGTTGCAGCAGTCTATTTACTTATTACTTTATTTTTAAAGAACATACTAAAAATGGGGAGGAGGGTAATCACTGTCAAACAGAGTATAAAGTGCTGAGCCCTGCATATATGTCATATAAATAGTTCACTGCAGCTGCACCCAAACCAAGGCACTGAATTAAAACCATCAACTGCTGAATAACAGCTTTGCACTATCAGGTTTTGAGTCCTCTCTTTGCCAAACCATAATCATTTGACACATGGGTTTTAATCAGAGAAGGGGTGTGAACACCGGCACTGACAAATGTGATCTATACACAGAGTGTAAAGATCTTATGAGCACGAAGGAGCAGCCACATTGTTACACCTAAATAGGTTTGCAGCTGGTAACTGCTCACAAACACAAGTGTAAGAACATTCACGTCAAGAACACTGACCCACATTTTTTGCTGTCTGAAAAGAAATAAAGGCTGTAAAAAAGTGAGGTGCCTATTAAATGTTTACACATATGTGCAAAACAGAGGTGAAACTGTTTCAGTAAAGGCTGGTCTCATTCATGATGCTCAGGAATTCCTGCTCGTTCACTTGCCCATCCCCGTCTCTGTCTGCTTCATCGATCATTTCCTGGAAGATATTTGTGTTCAGGAATCAATGCCAGGTTAGACTGGATTAGGATTAGCAGATTAATTCAGAATTAGAACAACTTTTTAGTACATTGCATTGGAAGGGACAGTGGTACAACGCCAGACCCCGTTATGTGACAAAATGTTGACTTCTTCCTAATACCTGATCTCCATCTCCCCTCTGGCAGGTTAAAGCCGTTCCCCTTTGTCCTGACCCTATAGGACCTTGTCCAAAGCCCTTTTTCAGGTTTCCTGTAGCCCCTTTAGACACTGGAGCTGCTCTATGGTCTCCCTGGAGCCTTTTCTTCTCCAGGCTGAACCAGCCCAGCTCTCTCAGACTGTCTCCACAGCAGAGGTGCTCCAGCCCTCATGAAGATCAGCGATCCCAAATCCCTGCCTAACAGGAGCTCTTCCATTCCTGCCAGGAAGGGCAGATTTTCCTAACAATTCCTTTAGAGGACAGCAGCTAAATCTGAGTGGCTGCTGCCTCTGCCTGGAAGCTGACCCTGAGCTTCCCTCCCTCACTGAGGTAATTCCCATTCAAACAAACCTGCAGCTCCTCATCCGTGAGATTCTCCCCCAGCTCTCTGGCGACACGTTTGAGGTTTTTGAAAGAGATTTTACCAGTTTCATCGTCATCAAAGAGTTTGAAGACTTTGAGAATCTCCTCTTTGGAATCTTTTTCAACCTTAAAGAAGGAAGAATAAGTAGTGGTTATGTGGTAGGTAACACTCAATATAAAGACAAGCATTAGACTAAGAAACTCTCTGAAGAGCAAATTTAACCAAGCCCAGCCAGAAGGAAGCACATGTAGAAAAGGTGAAGGGTTCCTGAACCAGGGCTTCAGGGGATGCTTTTTCTTTCATAGCTGGCCAGATGTCCCTGGGATTTCAGATTTGGGATCTTCTACTGTTAATATCTGGTTTTATTCAGTATGTTTCAAGAAGTGCCCCACCACTCTCAGAAGTGCTTTTCAAAGTCACATACCATTTTCTGTGTTATCACTCTTAAGAAGCCACTGAAGCTGATTTTTCCTGTTCCTTCCTTATCGATATCTGATACCATTTTCTTGATCTCTTCTCTTCTAGGTTCATACCCAAGTGCTCTCATGGACACCTGTAAAGACGAAAAACAATTATAAATCATAGAAAACTCTAAACAGAACCACAGGAGAAAGGGGGGAAAGTTGAACTTCATCACGTTGAAACCCAAGTCTTATGTCCCCAGAAAAAATATATCCCCCAACCCTAGCTCAGAACTGGTGAGACTCTGGAGGACAAAGCTCTGTAACAGAGCATTGGAGAAGTGTTTTCTGTGATAAAATGTGGATTTTTTCTTACAAAAGCCTATTTTGGTAAGTGCTTTGTAAAATTCTTGTGATGGGCACTCAGAGAGTGCCACTGCCATTCTTACGCTGAAGGAAAAATCCCAGACTGTCGCGGAGGACTGTGGAGAGCAATTTCCAAGGCTGCTGGAAAACTGAATGTTATGCCATTCCTGTCAGGGGAATTGCTACCAGTGTTCCCTTTGCAACGAGGAACAAGATACTGAGGAATAGCAGTAGTGATAATAAAGCTTATTTCAGGGCCTATTGTAAGCAAGATGGTAAATGGGACACCCAGAAGTGTCTCAACCAACTTCAAGCCAAGTGACTATGAAAGAAGCTTCCATCACACCTGCAGCTCTGCTGGACTCTAACAAGCAGATCTGATGGCACAAACGTGGGAGGTTTGAAGATGAGAGACCTCAGGGAACTTCAATCAGTTGACTTTTTTTTATTCTAGTGACAAAAATGTTTTCCAATGGATGTTGGGAAAACACAGCTCAAACACTCTGTGCCTTTGACAACAGTCCTATAAGCAGAGCACCAGAGGATGCCTTCACTTGGTGACCAGTGCCCACCTACATGCTTTAGTCTTAGTTCCTCTGATAAAGGCACAAGTGGCAAGTTGGAATCGGCTCTCTCTCTTTCCATGGTCTCAAGTACACAGATATCCAGCTGCAAAGAGGAAAGGCAAATTCTGAAAGCAAAGTAACTCCTGATTTATTGGTTACTATTCTTCCAACAGGACAGGGGTGGGGAGGGACTGAAAACGTTTTGCAATAAATAAAAGCATGAAAACAATTCCCACCGGTGTGTTCCATAGCTCGGATAACCCCATTTGTAAAGCAGCAGTCCTCAGCAACACACAAGCAGGGAAAAAAACCACATTTTTAATAGGCACAACCCTTTTTTGATGTTTTAGTAACAGAGGAGGTGATGGTACAGAAATACAGAACTATCCATGTACTTTGGCCAGCCCAGCCCTGGAGACACGTGGTAGCAGCAGGACAGAGCTACAATGAGAGACAAATGGACCTGTTGACAACAGCGTTTTAAGCCGGGGGGGGGGATATCTCTCCCGTTTAAGGACATTTAGGTGTTTATGCCCCTATTATTCATACCCTCAGCAGAACTGTGCTTTCAGCACTAGGCACAGTCTTACCTTTAGCTCCTTAACATCCACGTACCCAGTGCCATCCGTGTCAAACAGGTCGAAAGCCTCTCGGATATCCCGCTTCTCCTCCTCGGTGAGCTCCAGCGTGGGGTTCGCTTTCTTCCCCTGGGTCGCGCCTCCCTGCGAGGGCTTCGGCAAGCTGGAGGCCTTGGCGCAGCAACACAAGAGCAAAGAGGATCACGCCGCGTCGCCCCGTGAAGGGTGGGTGAGACCCGCAGGGCAGCGGCAGCCTCAGCCCCCAGCGTGGCCGCGGCACCGGGAAGCGGGAGCGGAGCGAAGCAGGGCAGGCCTTGAGGCCGCCCCCGGGCCGGGCCGGGCCGCACTCACCATCCCTGTGGCCGCTGCCCGGCGGCGGCTCCGGTCCTGGCAGTTGCGCTTTCTCATTGGCTAATGGCCCCACGCCGCTGCCATGGCAACCCTTGCTCCTATTGGGAGATGCTTGGACAATTGCTATTGGCCAACAGGTGACTGAGGCGGGTCCAAGAGGTGACTGACGTGAGGAGGGAAGAGCCTGTTCCTCTTCTGTCAACGCGATTGGTCTTAGGGAAGAGGCCACTGACCAATCAGCGAGCGACAGGCACCTAACGCGATGCTCAGCCCAGAGCGCGGGGGAGCAGAAGTGGCGGGAGCCGGCGGAGTGGGCGGGGTCTGCTGGAAGCGTCTGCGCTGATTGGTGGGCGTGAAGAGATGGGCGGAGCCGGACCGGGCGTGAGGGCGGGTGGTGGAGTGTGTGAGGGGCGCCGGTGTGGTGAGTGGGGCAGGGTCGGTGTGAGGGGGCCTGGAAGGGCTGCGGAGGGCCTGGGAGCTGCAGAGGGGCAGGGATAGAGAGAACGGGCAGGGATAGAGAGAACGGGCAGGGATAGAGAGAACGGGCAGGGATAGAGAGAACGGGCAGGGATAGAGAGAACGGGCAGGGATAGAGAGAACGGGCAGGGATAGAGAGAACGGGCAGGGATAGAGAGAACGGGCAGGGATAGAGAGAACGGGCAGGGACAGAGATATAGGGATAGGTTGTGGGGACCGTGGAGCTAACGGGGCTGAAGGGGCTGAGGGGGCTGAAGGAAACATGGCGTCGGGTGTGTGGGGAGGGAAGCTGAGGAGGGCTGCAGGGCTGTGAAGAGGGCTCGGGCTTAGGGAAGGGTGAGGGGTGTGTGGAAGGGCAGGCTGGGGGCGGAGAAGGTGGGGGTTGTGTGAGGCGATGAGGGTAAAAGGGTAGCTTGTGGGTGTGTGGAGTGGGCAGCTGGGGCCTGAGGTGCTGGGAGTAGGGGCTGAGGGGTGAGGAAGGGGTGAAGGAAGCCGGGGTGGGAGAAGCTGGATGTGCTGTGCCTGTTGCTTTGGAACAGGTGGGCTTGGTGCTGCTGAAATGCTTGAACTCGAGTTTATTTTGTTCTTGAACAACTGTATATTTGAAGAGGACGTTGCCAAAACCTGAAGTTGTGTTCATGTTGTTTGGGATGTAAATATTAAGACTTAAAGGAAGTCTGTGAAGTTAACACAAGCATTTAAAATAAGATGTTGCCTTTGTTATAAAGGTATTTTATGATATTAAAAGTATGCCTTTGAGAAAGCTGCTTCATGTCACTGTTACTCTTGTATTGCTTATTTTGTTTGGTAGGGCAGGGAGAATTACCTCTTCTCATGCTTCTGCTTTAGTGCAATGGCTTCCAACCTGGATTTCTATAACTATAAACATGTTAAAAAGTATTGTAATGAAATAATTCTCTTCTTTCTTAAAGGAATTGGGTTGAGAGTGAATCACCTGGGAAATGGCCACACGCCTCAGATCAGTGAGTTGAGGATTTAAATGATGCTCTATGAAGATTTGTCTTGCAGAAACATTTTCATAAATACTTCTGAGTGTTGGAAGATGTGAGACTGTTCCTGCATTAGTAGAGATACTGGCAAGGAAAATGGGATTTTTCTAAGGAATCATTTGCTGTTGTTAGTTCCAAAGACCTCCTGGAATGCTCCAGCCCCCAAAGTACACCAGCAGCTTTGTCAGTGCCAGATCAATAGGGCTGGAAGTTTAGCTACTCCAGGAGCATTTCTACATGCTTTATAACGTATTCTTTGTTATAAAGGCCCAGCTGAGGTCCCTGAGATCTACCATGCCATTGTAACATCTCTATGGTTGCTGCATTGAGTACAGGAAGTTAGAACATGGAAAGAGTAACATTTTGCCTAGCTCAGAAAGGTGTTTGGATATTGCTCTTAGGAGTACAATTTACTCAACTATTCTGTTGCATTACCTGTGGCTCTTGTTTATAGAGACATTTCTACCTAGTGAACTATTTTCTTACGAATCCATGTGAAGCTTACTGAGGACCAGTGAATCTCTGATAGTTAGGAAACAAAGAAACAGAAAACCCAATGTAGTATCCTGGTGGAGTGTGAGCAAGCTGTCATATCTTCACAGCACAACACTAGTTAGGTAGTAATTCATATCCTAAACTCAGTATAATCCTGGTTAGCCTGGCTTTCTACCTGCTCATGAATCCAGGTGCAACCACCTTAGCTGCAGTTACACTGACTCTGGTCATCGAGTTGGTTCATTTGGTCCTTTTCCAAGAGGTGTGCACTAGACTGTGTGTCTTAAAAGTGCACTAAAGGTTATCTAAATACCCTGCTGTTCATCACCATTTAGAATACCGCTAGTGTAGCTGAGGGAGTGGAAAACTATCATTCCAGAAGCACCTGGATGGTCTCATCTGTGCTGGCAGAAAATGATTCTGATAATTAGGGCTAGAGGGCGTTGTTCTGCCACGGTCGAGCACTGTTCAGCACATTCAAGTGTGATGCGCAGCTGGGATGCTGTCAGTTGATGAAGAATGAGCTGGAATCATAGGATTGGATTGGTTTGGGTTGGAAGGACCCTTAGAAGAAAGGACACAGAGCGGGGCAAGTAGAAATACTGATGGAATGGAGTGGCTGCCTCTGAAGAAGGTACACCTGGGGAGAGGACACTGCAGCGGAGTGTGACTGACTTTAGAGAATCAGGGAGCTGAAGAGCAAAGCATGCGCAAAACTGATGTAGTCAGAGAGTGAGCTGCAGAGGGTCCTTAAACTCACATATGCTTTCTCTGTCTGTTTTCTTACAACTATCAAACCCACACAGATTTGGCCAACCCGTTAGAGCTTTATTTTAATGATTTGAATCGTATTGTACTTTGCATGCACCATTCTAAATAACTGGTTATGCTTTAATGTGACTGAGCAGCAGTGCTGCGCTCCTCTAATTTCTGGTGTGTGTAATTGACACTTTGCAGTAGAACCTTTGTTTAAGGGTGTAGCACTTGGAAACTTTTGAGTAACTGTTGTTTTTCTGTGGTCTCACTGGGTTAAAAATCCCTTCAGCCTGATAGTGTAACTGCAGAGGTGGGGCTTTGTGTAGCAACAATAAGGAGCAAACCTATTTCCAACCAGGACAGAGCATTCTTTGTATGAAAGCTTCCTCAGACTCATTGCTTGCATGTTTTGTGTTGATGGTGAGGTCTTAGTCTCAGTTCAGTTACATGAGTGACCAGACTGGAATCTATTAGTGACTATAGCCATTTATTTGAACAAGCTTGAAAGGAAGGAAGAGCCAATGGCTGACTGAAAAGGGCAATCCTTGCCTTGACCTGTGCTTTCTCAGCTTGGAGAAACTTAAAGTTTCACATGGTCTGAAAATGGTTTTGTCCTTGGTAATGATGATAGTTTTGAATGTTCTGAAGTATCTGTGCCATTTGGCTGAAGCAGATCGTTTGCTTTGCCACAGGGCAGAGTTTGTGGGAGCCATTCCTCTTTTTCTTCACTACTATGGGGGCCACTTGGTTGGCCACTTGGTTTTGGCCACTGCTGAAACAAACCAGCACGTGAGCCATGTGGACCATTGGTGTATCTGAACTTTTAAGCACAGACTGATTGAAGAGTCTTTTGATACCTAAATATAGACTCCTGTAATTAAACTACACACTGATGAGTGCAAAATTCCAGCATATTAATTTCTCAGAGCAGTTTACTTGTGCACTTTGGTGTATGTCTGCATGTTAAGGCGCTTTTCTCCCTGTCTCCACAGGCTGGTAAGAAATGTACCGTGATCGGCGGGTCTGGGTTCTTAGGCCAGCACATGGTGGAGCAGCTCCTGGAGAAGGGTTATGCAGTCAATGTGTTTGATATTCAGAAGAGGTTTGACAATGACAGAGTGAGGTTCTTCCTGGGAGACCTCTGTGACAAAGAGGTACAGACTAATGACAGACAGTACATGGCATGGCAGAGGGAAGGGATGTGTGTTTAAATAAATGTTCCCTTGAGCAGCTTACTGAGCCTTGCCTGAGGCACCGAAACACCTGAAGGCATTGCACAGGTTGTAAAGGGTGTGTGGATATGGCCCCCAGCCATGCCCTGGGAAGCCAGTAGCCAAAGCAGTTTTCAAACCTTCATCTAGAACATTTAAAGGAATTCACTTGAGGTCTTCTTGCAGCAGAAAAGAGCAGAACTTGTTTCTGTATCATGATTTGCATTACTTTTAGCTCAGGCATACAGTGTAATTACAGTCCCTGTTGGTAATGGTGTGTGGGTGCTCTCCTGGCTAACCCCAGCTGCGTGAGAACAGCATAGTGCATCACTTCTAACAGTCAGCTGAGACCTTCTGCCTTAGCTCAGCCATGCTTTGAGCCTTGGCATAACATTTGTATATGATGTGAACAGGCATCTCCCCAGAAAGGTAAAGAGCCATGGCTCAGAGCTCTATGCCAGTCATCACCAATGCAGACAGTGCCATGGGGTACTGGTGCTGCTAAACCTGCTGCTTGCTGGGTTTTCTAGCTCCTGTCTCCCAGTAATTTGGAGTCTCATACCTGCGCTGAGACTGCTGCAGGTTGTTAAGTCAAGGTAGCCTCTAGGTCTTAGAAAATTCCCAGGTTCTTCCCTGGGAAGGAAATACGTAGTGTGGTTTTGCCTAGCAAGAAGGAGAGGACATAGTGGAGATCCTGGGTGCTGATCCTGTTCCAGGTGCTCATCTTTATGGAGGGAACATGTGTTGAAATTTAGTGATGGTTTTTTCCATAAGAAAAGGATTCATGTTTTATTTTCTTCCTCTTTCTGAGTGGTGCTGCTGTTGCTTCACTGCTGTCTCATGTGATGTCTCCTCCAGGCTTTGCTCCCAGCTCTACAAGGTGTGTCGGTGGCATTTCACTGTGCATCGCCAGCACCTTCAAGTGACAACAGGGAACTGTTTTATAAGGTGAACTTTATGGGAACCAAAGCTGTCATTGAAGCCTGCAAAGAAGCTGGAGTGCAGGTAAGGAAAGAAAAGCATATAGAGACTATAAGCTGCTGATGTGACTTTATAACAGTTGCAGCATGGACCAATTTCAGTCTAGTTTGAGAGAGGGATAGAGGTCTCTGAGATAGCAAGTACCGTCTTGTTGTGTGGAAATTAGTAGAAGAAACTCGGTCTCCTGCTTAGCGTCTGGTGTAAGCTCAGGCCATGTTTGCCACAGAAAACCCACTCATGGCAATATTCCTGACTGCAGGAAAAGCATTCATTAAAATTTGTCCTACCAGACATCTGGGAATCACCCACAGGAGATCACCCACAAGGGTGTTCCCTCATGCTGAAATAAGGGGATGGTTCTGAAGAGAGCTTTTCCAGCACTGGAAGTGTTCATGATATCTATTACCTACATGAATTCTTTAACATACAATGAGAAGAAACACACTTGTGCCATAAGCCAGTCTAATTTGGTTTAGAAAGTCATTTGCCAATGAAAGAAAGAGCCGGGGAAAACCAGTGCAAATGCAGCAGTGCTAATGTCTACAATTAACTGGTGTATATCACCCAGGCCTCCCAGCCCAGAGTCTGTTATTTGCTGGGGTGGTTTCCCCCCTCATGCAATGAGCTGTTGTAGCAAATGGGCCATGGGGTGTTTTCCTTCAGGCTTAGTCTGGATTCTGTCAGAGTGAGGAGTTCCATCCTGTTGGAACTTTGTTGGATCTGGTCTTCTTTCTATTACAATGTAAATCCTGTTTAAACCCACATGTTTCTGATTACTCCAAGACATCACTGACATTCTGGTTTGGATCCC